AGAAATGGCTTGTTAATCTTAAAATCCCCAAAATGAAATTACTCTCTATTAATCGTCTTAGAGAACCTTCCATGGCTGTTACTAACCTCCATGAGAGTGACTCGTTTCACCTTCTAAGCTAACATTTTCATTATATTGAATCAATTGTTGGGCCTGCTGCTAGGAAAGTTGATTCACTGTGTTGTACTAGAAAATTTTTTGTGTCTGAATCTATCTTACACATTTATTTATAAGTTTACCATTCATGAATGAATTGATGTAACATCTGGTATTGTGCTTCCGCTATGTAATTAGAGATTCTTGATAAAATCCAAAGAAAAATCTGCAATTTTATCAGTTCTGACTTGGCATCTCAGCTTCAGTCACTTTCCCATTGCCATAATCTAGCATCTCTGTTTCTTTTCTATCAATATTTTCACTATAATTGTTCTAAAGTGCTTTCCTCTTTCGTACCATGACTTTCTTTAAACACAGTACCAGATTGGCAGCCAGGTTTCATCAATTTACAGTTGAAATTGCTACATGTAACCCTGTTCTATGCTTACAGTTTCTTCTTTTGCACTTCTCGCTTGTAGAACTCTCTTCTGGCTTCTTGCTCCTCAATCAATTTTGATCTTTAAAAATTTTGTATTTAATGTAAATTGTCATCTTCTGTCCCCTTGAATTCTGTTCTTTTATTATTCTCCCTCATTAATAATGTTTTTTCTTATATTCTTTCAAACTCAATAAGCCCTTGTGTCTTAGTAGCTTTACCATATAGCATGGAATGAAATTATTAAAAAACAAACAAATGATGAATATCTTGTAACTCTATTTGTTTTATTTTTTGTTTTCCTTTTTTTTGATTTCCTTAAGTCACTGTGACATCATTTGTGGAACTGTTTAGTTAAATTTGAACCAGGTTGCTTAAATGATTTGTTTAAAAAATTGTGTATACAAACATAAATATTCAAGAATGAAATATAACAAAATTGGGAGATTCCAAACATTGCAATGTTAGCATGACAGAGGTTTTTTTTTTTTTTTTACAATTAATTTGGCACTTGTCAGCAACAATTGTCAAATGAACAGACCAAGTTCTGGATGGCCACATTGATTAACACATTTTATAGGCAGCAGTGGCAGACACTATGGCATCCAAAATACAGAGTAAATGTGTCAATATGAATACACAGACTGGATAAATTCCTTTTTTTTGTAGACTAATCAAATTTGGTAAAAATGCAGAATACTTCCCTATGCACAAATATTTTGGGTAATTATTAATTTATGACTTTATTTATGAAAAGGAATTGAAAAAACTACAGAAATTTAAAGCCAATTTTTAATTGGCCTTTAATTTTTTAAAATTAAAAAAATAAATTGAACTTATAGAACTGAAAAGAAAACAAAGTGATTAAAAATTTAATTTGAACCTATACAAAATGATGTCCTGAACCAGAAAATAAAAACAGAATATTGTTTTGTTTTTAATTTTTTTCACTCCTTTTTTTAATAAAATATTCTGTAGACTTTTGGGTTGGGAAAAAATTGTTGATAATTCTTTTTTAGATTTATTTTCATTTATTTAATTATGAAATGTTTTATTTTTATATTTTAAATTATCTTATGGAATCCTCCATACTTGCCTGACACGCCCTATGGGAAGATGCACTCTTCCCCAAATTAACCTTTAACCAATCATCACTTCACTTTTCCAAACTCAACTTCCCATTGGTTAAAAGGACACAAAAATGTAGCAAGTTGAGATAAATCCTTTTTTCCTGTGCAGCTGTCTGGAGCCTATTTGAAAACCCCAAAATCTATAAAAAAGATTCACTCGACTTGATTCAAGTCAGTCAGACACTGAGTTTTGAGAGATGCCAGCAGACTCCATGCGTGCCAACATACTGACTCAATAACACTACCAGCTTCTCATCAACTCACCACAACTCGCACTACTATTGCCGCGTGAAGAAACTTAACTTACAATTTACTAAAAAGTGACACTATCACTGTGAAATAGTAATTGTACATTTAATCAATTTTAGCATATCAGTCAAAGGCACAGAACTCTTCCTAACTTGAATCAACACTTACAATCGTCACACACATACACACTATTATTTGAACTCACACAATTGGCATTTTACCTTGCAGAAATCAAACTGTTTTAATTTCACAAACAAATTTAAACCATCAACATTCATTCACCAAATCTCTGCATGGACACTCTTTGCAATCTTATCTCACTTGCCACATTTAACAAGCAACCTATCATCACTTTGTGTATGTCAAATATATATATATATAAATTCATGTTATTGTTGAAATCTATAACTGCGTTGTTTTAGCCTTGATTTCTTCAAGTTGTATTGTCTTCAAATGTTCGTTTAATTTATTTGTTGTGGATAAATGCATAATGTACACACACATTTTAGGCCTTCACACAATTTTTTAAGATGTGTTTGCTGTCACAAATAATAAATAAAAGGTACCCATTTTAATCTTTTATTTTGTGCACATGGGAGGGGGGGGTTATTCTGCATTTTTACCTAAAATTCATCATGCTCAAACAATGTATTGCAGACATTACTATGTAAAATTATGAATATTTATTTTTAATTTCTCTTCCATTGACTATGATACCAATTGAGTGATTATTTATGATTATTATAATTGTCATTTTGGCTACTTTCCCTCCGGCCATCATCAAGTGGCCAATAACTCTCATCATTGGGACAAAATAACACAATAATGAACAGATTTTGCATATCAGCCAAACAATGGATATCTGATGATGACAAGAGGGTAATTGATTGAAATATTTTTCAATAATAAAATCTAAAGATGAAAGAAATAGTTAAAGTATATTGACAATTACTCAAAATGAAATATCAAATTAAAAAGTACTGTATTCCCACTATATAATTATTCTCAAAATGAAATACAAAATATTTTTTTTTAATTTATTAATATTCTTAATTTAACAGTATATTTTTAATAAAGTTACTTGATCTGATAGAATATAAGAACCTCTGTTTTCTTTTTTAATAAAAATGGTTACAAATATCTCTCAAGTGTTATATGTGATGTTGAGGCATTTAGTAGGCTGATGCTTATCCAGATGTTGTAGGCTACAAAAACTTGTCCTAACCTAGCTCCATATTAAATATATAAAAGGTAGTGTCATGTGTTATCAAATATGGTAATTGCATTTATAGACATTAATCTACAAAATATCATTAGCATAATTCCTACCTAGCTACCTGTACAATGCTCCAAAGGAAAAAAATAAATTAAATAAAGCTGCACCAGTTCTTGGTGTTGTAAAATGTCTGTATGAGTGTAAGTAAGAAATATCAAATAAATTTATGTGTGTTCCATTTTTTTTTTTTTTTTTTATATTGAATGTTTATGCAAAAGAAAATAGTATATAATATTTCTGTAATTGTGTGTATAAGAGAAAAGTATGTTTCTATCAGTTGGGAAAAATCAAGTCCTATGTGTTGGATACTTAAAAATGTATCAAAGAAATGACCAACATGTCTTCCAAGAAAAAGGACTGACGTGTTTTCCAAAAGCAGTGGTTGAGAAAAAAAACCTGAAACTAATTCTGCTTTCCTTTTATTGGAACTGGTGCTGGATCAGATGGTTATCATTTCTTTTAGTGGGGGCAGTTTTCTGATTGACTGAAATATGCAACCCAAATTTTTTTAAACTGAAAGAAACAAAAGTTCTCTGCTGAGTCTACCTGCATATGAACATGTATGTATCATTTGCATTTTTTACTCTGAAGCATTAGCTTCCTATTTGATTAGGTATGTGTCTCTACAAGAGCTCAAATGTACTCTTTTCCTTGGTTGAAATGGCAATCTTTAATGCAATCATTATTTTACAGTGGATTATTCAGTGGATGAATGTGAAAAATAAAAGATTGGAGTAACATATTTGACTTAATCTGATTTTTGGTTTGGTTTGGTTTGTTTTATGGCATATCAACCTCAATGTGTTATTTAATGCCAACAAAATTTTTGTTGCTGGTAATATTTTTTTCCTTCATAAATCTATTTTTGGTAATATTTTTTTCTTCAAAAATGTATTGCTGACAATAATTTTTTACAAAAAGTATTTCTGGCATTAAAATATATTTTTACACTTTCATAGTGTCTTAACCCCAGTTTGGGGGTTAACTATTTGCCCATAGCTGGGACCCTAACAGGTGCTACCACCCTGGGTCAAGGTGAACCTGGGAACCCCAGCAATTAAAAGGTGGTTCCACACTCCTCAAAACCTCCTGACCAGAGGCCTTGCTGTTGGACATAGTTTATCATCTTACCCAGGATGCGGATGTAGTTTATCGTCATACTCAGGACAGTTGACTTTATCTGAGCAATACATATCACTATCAATAAATGTTAACTTACTTATAACTAATAATTTGTTTTCATCATTTCATGGGACATGCATTTATTTTTTCTATATAATGCAGACTGCCAGGGTTTCTCTAATGGAATCAATGGTGAGCCATGTTGGAAGTCATCAGCTGTGGTTTGACCTGGAGAGGGATGGTCTCCACCAGGTCTGTTTACCCAAGAGATACATACTACCTCTCTAGCTTCCAATCCAGATACGAGAAGTGAGCTGGTTAGGTGTTCAGTTGTGCAACAACCTTACAACCACACCCGGTCGTGGTGGTGATAGGTGTTTTTGTTGGTTTTGTTGTTGTTATTATTGTTGTTGTTCTCCCCTCCTCATTATTATTATGATGAATATGATGCAGTAATATGAAGAAAAGAAAATTGATTAAGAAAAACAATGAATCTCTTTTTTCTTGAAGGAATCAACTATTAATTAAATCAACTGTATTGAATATTGATGGTCTATGTTTGGATTACCTAGTGGAGATGTTTTCTTTAATGATTAACCAATCAATGCAATATTGATTTGATGGAAATAAAAATGATATAACAAGTTAACCTATTGATTTTAAGTACAGAATGGACCTGCATTATACTTACCCTGGCATCAAATAAGGAGGTATATAATCTGCATTTGTGGTCGTTATAAGAGTTCCTGCAGCCCTGGACATATTGATGATTTCAGAATTAAGAACGAGACACTTTTCAGATCAGAGAAGAATAATTCTAGTATTTAACTGTTCAGGTTAATTTAAAGCCTAAACAGATCGAAAAATCGAAATCACAGGTAATTATTTCAGCTGAGATATGTCGAAAAAATACGGTGTAATTATGTTTTTAAGTAAGGGAACTCTTGTTTACAACGGCCTGTTTAGAACGGTTGCCATTAGTTACCAATCTACCTTCGGTAATTTCCGGCAATCTTCGTAAAACGACATTTCGTGATTTCATAATACAGGAGAGCCAAAATGGCTATGAAACTACTGTGAAGGGTATTGCCTGTGTTTGGTTATTTTTATCATTTTTTTTTTTATATGATTGTCAAGTTTTGAAATCAAACCTTCGTCCTCATCTGCAGTTGTAATTGGTAAGTAAATGTTTTTTGTACTGTGCGATTTTTTTTCGAAAGAGAGACGTTTGTAATAAGAAAACGTTTATTACGATAGTTTTTGTCTTAGTCTTGCTTGCTTTTTATTGTTAAAGCAAGTGCACGTCATTGTTATAAAAACGTTTGGTGCTAAAACTCAAACTTTGGTTGTCGAAGGCTAGAAGTTAATTTTGCGGTCAAAAAGTGAGAGTTAACTTAGTTAAGTTATTGTTCATTGCATGAATATTTGTGAAGTTTAGCGATTTTCCGATAAATTACCATTTCAATATAAAACAATTTATTTACTGAAAACGTGACTTCCAGTAATTCTCTCATTTTGTGATTATTACTGAATATTTCGCTGTTTACACTTATAGTACAAATATTATTTTCACTGGAGACTGCTTACTTGAAATAATTTTTTGAACTAACATTTTAATGTAAAAAAATTTATATTGATTTTAAAAATAAAAGATGAAATAACCAGGTTACGGTTTACCATAATTTCCGTAAAATTTATTTAAATTAATATTTAATTTAATAACAACAAAGATAATTGTTTTTTAATTGATGATGCTTTAGCTTTCCTTAATTGATCAATATTATTTTATTATCGTGTGTGTTATGCAAACAACGTCTCATAGTTGTTGAATATGTTCAATTCAATCCATTGTAGACTTTTTTTGAGTGTTGGTCTTATTTAAAATAATTAACTTTATATATTTTTACTTTAAGAACGTATTCAATTTTTAAATCTTCACAGCGATTCAAGAAATAAGTAAAAAATGAACATGTTTGTTCTAACACATTTTGCTGACATCTATCTCGTATATTCAATCAATCAAACAAAATAAGAAGATCGTTTAACTAACAATAAGATCCTTAGCTTCTGCCTGCACTGCTGTTGAATTTCAAATTTGGATGAAAGAAGAAAAAAAATCATTCCTTGGCAAGCATTATTCTTGGGTCTGGATGCGATGAAGTAAAAAACTAAAAAGTAGGTTGGAGTGGGTGTTGTTACGACTGACCCTTTCTTTGCCTATATCTTTTTTATTTATTTTTTCACACACTTCTCCACTCTGACAGCAATGAACGATGTTGTTTCTTCCCAAAAAACATATAACAGTTGGAAAAGAAAAAACTTATGGAAAATAGTTTAAAAAAAAATAATATTATAAAAATAAATAAAATTATTTGTGCTCACACTTCACTCAGTAAATTGAACTTTTTTTTTTTAATGATAAAAAATTGATCAATATTTTATTTTTCAAGTATGATGTATATGTAATGTGGAGAATTTTTTTTAATTAAAGGAAACTACTAAAAAAAGAAAAAAATGAATAAACAGCAACTCAAAACTAATTTTCTCTTTTTTTTTTTTTTTTTTTTTTTAGTTATCTATCCTTAGACATGAATATCGGTGGTAACAATTTTTTTAAATGAAATGACATAAAAGTAAAAACCCCAAACCACATTGCTTTTCAAACCTTTCAAAATGAAATGAAGGCATTGTGAGATATGAGAAATCGTAGCAGTTGATTGTTTTTTTTTTTTTTAACTATGAAAAATTAATTTACCTCCGTTAATCATTTGCAGTTTTTACTTAGCATAGATACTTTGAAATTAAATGATTGGATCTTTAGACAAAATTAATTTAGAGACTAATACGTTCACATTCACAATCAATCACCTTTTCTTTTTGGAATGAATGAAAAAGAAATTGCAAGCATTACCTGCTTGCAACAATTAAGTGTAAACAACATCAGCTGTTACCTGACAAGAGAAGACACTGACTGAGCTTCTCTACCAACCAGATACATTTTTTTTTTTTAGTTTTCTTTTTAATTGTTGGCAGCTCATTTGCAGCTAAAGAGTTTTATTATTTTAGAATTCACACAGGAAAAATGTCTTCATTTGAAAGCTTTTTTAATTTCGAAATGATATTTAAATTTTTTTAATCTTAATTACTACTTAAAAAGTTGATAAGTGAACTAACTAAACATTTTTAGTGTAATTCTTCTTCTTGTCTGTTAGTTTTTTGTTTATTGTGGTTCTAAAAACTTTTTCGTTTTATGCGCTCATTGTAAAAAAAATCTTTGAAATGAAGTCTGCTAAATTGATGTGATGAATGTGATCACTTGAGATTTCATTTCATTGAAGACATAAATTATATCAGCAGGTGGAATAATGGAAATATTTTTCATTCATTTGTCAGATGTTCAGTATTTCAATGTTCAAAATCGCTTAAAAACAGTAACACTTACTTATAGCTTATTTTTTTGTCGTTCTACAAAATTTGTGTACATTGCAAATTACACACACACACACACACACACACACTCTCTCTCTAACTCTTTATTTACAGATTTTTCACGGTAATAATTGATGTTCTGAGAACTATGAGTTTTTTTATAAATTAACTTGCTACTTGTAAAATGGATAAAAAAAGACTGTAAAAATACGGCAATAACTTAAGATTGTTATTTTATTTAAATGAAAAATGTAACTAGTGTTAGTTTCTTTTTAAAAAGATTCCTTTCTTCAATTTGTAAAACAAAACAAAACTTAAAAAATAATGTCGACGATCTCAAATTTGTTTTAATTTCGTTTTTAATTACCCGTTATTTTTTAATCAGACTATTAAACTAAAATAATATTTAGTTTACTTTAAATAAATTAAAAATACTTTTCATTTTTTGTCATTTCATCATGTGAAATAAAAAACATAAAAAAGTTTTAAAAACACGTCAACATAGCCATCTATTGATGAAATTATTCAATGATCTCTACTAATCCGGTCCATTGGATTTTTAAGTATTCTTATTCGTTGTGTAGAATCTAGATAGATTAGGATTATTTAAATCGTTACCATTTAAGTACTAAAACAAAAAGTAGCTTAGCTTTACTGATCAAGCAGTAACAGGTGTTCTGTTCACTATTCATTCAACAGACAAAATAATCAGTAGAGAAAATGTTTTTGAAACTGTTTTAAAAATGGCATACAGAAATTAAAACAAGTTTCAATCATATAAGAAATTATTCTCTTACCATTTTTAAATTATAAAGCACCTACAGAGGAAAACCATGCATAACCCCAGCGAACTTTAGCAAATGGATGGTGGAAGAAGGTTTTAGCCTAGGAGAGATGATGAAAAGACAACATTTAAGAAGAGTTACAAAAAAAGACATGAAATTGTGGAGAGCTGTGGTTGCCAAAGCCCTAGGGACGTGGCACATAGAAGAAGAATCTTTAAAAGATGAGATGCTTTTAGTTTTAATAATTAAAATATTTAATCGAAATGGCATAATTCTTGACTAAAAAAAGTCTTTTTTTTTTCTCACGATTAGTAGATTACGATTATTACAAATTAGGTCGTAAAAATTTGAGGCGTGAATGAAGTTTTCCAAGATCTTGGCTAATTTCTCCTGGACAGGCTTGGTAGTGATTATTGTTCATCAGTCAATTGATATACTTATGCTTACCGTACGTGTTTGTAAAACTTTTTTTTTCTTTTTTTACACTTTTAGAGTTTCTTAGTTTTTTAATTTTTTGTTATGTTACTATTCTTTTATTTCACATCTACAAAAAATGAAACTGATTACAACTATTGAATCAAACTTCATAAAAGCTTTTAATTATGTATGAATGTTATTTAATATTTGTCTATTGGGCACTGTTATTTATTTTTATAGTAAGTCGAGGAGTTGTAACATGAGCTATCTGAGAGACTATTGGAAAGTTCGTAGGCCTAGAAAAGTACACCATTATTGCCATTATGGCTTGTTCAGTGATGGTCCGCATAGATGAGTTTTTTACAAATTTTTCTCCCATTTTCTGGTGTTTTGCTGGTAATTGGTTTTCATCTTGATAAATCTTAAAACAGCACAAGCCTGGTTAGTGTTTTTTAACCTAAAATGTTTACCAAATGTCTGGCAAAGCATTTTTTTGTTTGAGGGTCTAGAGAAGACCTGCCGATCTACGTTCAAAATTTGATGAAAGCAGATTATTACATTACTCAAGGTTGTCTTGTCAGTCATCGTAAAGATTGCAGAACCATTTCAACACCTGACAAAACCTTGCGTAATAATTATTGGCAAATTGACTTGGAAGGTTGGGTAGCAATTGTTGTGTGCCCATTGAATGATACAGTCATAGCATACAGTAAGGAACTTTCCTATACCACCTCATAAATTTCCTTGGAATGAAGGCAGCTATCGTTGTGCATAACAATGTTATTGTTACAATATTTGTACAGTAATTTTATTTTATTATTATTTCAATTATTTGCTGTGCAGGTTTGTAAATTTGTCAGGAATAGGCACTCTTTTTATTTTTATTCTCACTAGAGACATGGTCGTGGTAGATAAGTGATGTTTTAAAATCTAACCTTTTTATTCTTTATTATTCGAATTAAGAAGAGATTTATCATGTAAACCAGATTCGGTATCCGGTTTCATTGTAAATAATTCTTTTTTCCCCATTCCCCTATCTAAATTAGGATATTTAAAAAAAATTTTTTAGAAGCTACAAAATCGGTATATACAACTTTACAAGCAACCCACCACACTGTGTGTATAGGTTTT